TGAACTCCACTGGTCACTGCTTTTCACTAGAACTCCAGGAAATACCTCATGGAGCCAGTCACTAGTGAGCATATGATCATTATTAGAAGGGGGTTTTGTGGAGCTTATTGATCACCTCAGTTATCATGACGGCTAATTTACCCTTAGTATATTAATAATGGAAGAATAAATATGTTACTTATAAATAAGGTAAAAATGTTACCATTAAGAGTACATAAAATGCATTGATTGAAGTTGGTTTATTGATTTTGATAAAATAATTGCTCATATTGTCGTAAACGAAAACACTAATTGGGGGGGGGGGTAATCGAATGTATTTAGACACAAATTACAGACTATCTCACTAAATTCTGATAACCATACACCAAACTGTCAATTTACAAAATTACAACCAATTATCTCAACATTCTCCGTTCCTTCTGTAAATATCAATCCATCTTCTCTAATTCTGTTGTTCATGAATTTTACTACCAATTGCGCTTCATTTCAGTTCTTTCCTAATTTGTTTTCTGCCAAAATACATTCAATGTCTGACCATCGCCATATACTACTTATATGGATATAAGTAGACCACACCACTATATATATATATATATATATGAAAACCCTTTTTTGAAACTTTGAGTGTAGACTACCATTGAAAAGCACCAAAGCACTGAATGATCGTTTTTTTATTATTCTTCTATTGGATATTTTAATATTGCTTATCCATTTGTAAACTTTTTAATCATTAAGTTGGATAATATAATTGTTAAATATTATTTATTATACACTCATTTGAATTACTTTAATAGTTTAAACGTGCTCAACACAATGATAAAGCATAGTTGACCTGAAGTTTGTAAGGAAAGTTACACGCTAACCAAAACAGCTATCGCTACAAAAGCGATTTTTTTACAAAAAAAAAGAAAGAAATTTCTTTTCATGTTCTTCGATTGTTTTTGTTTTCTTTCTTGGTGCTTCCCATTTGTTTAGTTTTAAGATATCCATCTTGATATCATATTTGTCGCCATGAGCTACCACATATTTGAACTAGATTACACCTTTAGATGTCTTTATATCATAGATACCAATATATATATATATATATATGTAATTTATGTTATGATGAAAACAAATGGATGAACCAAATTTCTAGATTAGAATTTCATGTTCATTTAAAGAAGGGAGAAAAAAAGAAAGATACAAATTAAATCATCAAATTATAACTAATTTAGAGAATCATTTGGATTATCCTGTAGTGAACAAGAACATCAATGGAGACAATCGAAGATATTTGCATGGAAATCTACAGAACGTCTTTGGAATATCTGAGAATCATGTACAGTAAATATTTCATTTGTAAAAGATCAATCAATCGTTTCAGACTTCATTATTCTTCCGTTTCCACATCAATCATTGTTTGTTCTGGTTCTCTTTTCTTTGATCTTCTATAACCTTCTGTTGCCAGACATTTCACTTTCGTTTGATGATACATACTACTTATATCTGTTAATATCAGTAGCACACTCCAAAATCTCGTTCTTAAAATGAATTTTAATTATTTATCGAGAAAATTCAAATCATTATAAACCAAATTAAAAATTCATATCAGTTAAATAAGTATGTGTTATTGGAACTCATTAGTTAAGTGAATAACTCATTAGGTGTTTGAACTAAACGATACTCTTTTAAAATCCCAAAGTGAACACTAATTCTGGGATACAGGTACAAACGGCTGACAAGTCCTAAATAGGACGAAAAGCATAAATTGAACTCCACTCTGTTTCTTAAATCAAAATAGAATTTAATTTCAAATAAGGAGTGTACTTTTGTAACATCTGAAAGTATGTACTGAGAATAATTTAGAATAACTTGTCTGCATTAAAAACCTTCTTTAATCTTATCATAATAACTCTGAAGAAAAAAGAAAACAGGTTTCAGATTAAATGTGTCCATTGATTCTCTATTTGTCACAGGAAAATATCACGTCAGAAAACTGGGTTATCTGGTTAATAGATACACTAGAAAACGGAAGTATATAAACAACACATGAATATGCTAAATTTCCTTATTGAAAAGTGTCAGTCACTCAGTAAGCCAGACAATAAGATGTAAATAAAAGCTGTTGTTTGAAAACACGCAAAGCTCTTCTTTTCTGAAAAATTGTTCAAGTCTTCAAGATGTCGATGTCATACATCTTTCTTTAAGTAGGCGGATTTCCTTGTAGTTGAGTTTAGAAAAAAACAACTAACCAATTAACATCCTATATATTCAATAATACAACGTTATTGAATAAATGTCAATCTACTGCATATATGATCAGAAAAAATAATTGAATTCATCTTTAGACTTTAATACCCGGAATGAATATGATTAATTGTATCTACAAAATCAAGTGTATACAGATTGTAAGCAAATGTAGTAGTTTTCTTAGTTTACATCATTGACTGATCTCATTTAGAGCACCATTAAAAAACCTGAAAGAAATAGATAGTTGATTTGTCCGAGAATGAGACTCCTCAGTGAGTAGCATCTGCAACTCCGAATCCAGCAATCGAATCAATGACCTTCGATCTCTCATACAAGCTATTAATCACGAAGGCCAGTTTGTGATTTAAATTATGAAAATTTTACAAATTTCACAAACCTTTCTATACTAAGTAGCTGAGCTTCAACTAACCACTGCAAGCCAGAAACCATTCTCTATACATACTACATCTTACCAGTTCAGATGAAGCAAGATTCATTAGCTGTCACAGATGTTCACTTCAACACGTAAAAAAGAACACAGTTAAGCATGTTTCTACAGTAGTAAGAGGAAAGAGGTTAGAAATTCTGTTCATGAACATTTAATTGATTATGATCACTCAACTAACCCTCACTAAGATTGTTTACTTAACTCATGTATACTTACCAAATCTTTCTCATCTTTAACTTTTTAAATCAAAAGTTTAAGTTGTCCACGACTTGAATCCAGAACTTTTTACGAACATGAAATGTTGTCTGATGATCTCTTATATTCATACAAAATTGTTGTATATCTTTTAAGAGTTAAGTTATAATCTTCTATGGTAGTTGTTCACTTAGTCCCTCAAATATCTCCAGATACAAATATTGATATAACAACATTTATTCCAGTTAGTTTACTGAATTTAGATTATGGCTCGTTGTATCCTAGCGAAGACATAAGTACAGGTAACTCCCGGGACCTATTAATGGACTATTATTCTATATATATTTTTATTGTATAACTATTCAGTGATTAGATTGTATGTATCTATATTCATCTTATTATAAGCTTTATTTTGACACATGGATTATTATTATACGAATTATTGTTCCTAAATTATATTCCGTTTATTGATTATTGTCACCCACATTCACAGCCGCATTCGGCTTGATCTTGTACAAATATTATTTTCTATTTTATGGTGTGATGTGGTCTGTCTATCTTTTATATAAATCGAGTATGCTTGAAATAAATGATTCGCATAGCAGAGGCTGCAATCGGTGTTTGTGGACTCAATTGGAAGGTCTAGGCGGACAAGGGACCAGTAAGAATGCTAGACTACTCATACTGGTCGAACGTCATTGATTGGCACAGTATGGAGATCAGAAAAGTCATATTTCGATTGGTAGATAAATCACGTGATAAAAGCCGGACATAAAATCATAACATGGCTCATAATTGATTATATGCCCATTTGTTGCTTACAGTCATTCTCCAGAAATTACTGAATTGATTATTGTTATTATGTATACCAAATGCCTTCATTGTTTTTCACAAACTCTTTTCAGATTGATTTCTCAAGTTTCACTGATAACAAAACACCATAGCGTTATTCCAATTTCAATGAATCATGCTTTACCGTTTAAACCCCTTTGTATCTATATTGATAGTTTATTCATCTTTGTATTGTTTGAATCTTCCCATTGATGGCTGTTACTGGCATATATGCATCCGTTGCGGATCGACTCGATACTTCCTTAATTTACAAGCATTATAAGAGACTAATCAGTTACAGTTCTAAATAGTAATGGGGAGATTCAAACATACAATACAAAAAATTGATCAAAGCTTCAGCCTATTGATTAATGTAGAAGCTATCTGAACTCAGTAGCTAAGTAAATAACTCAATAGCGTTTCAAGAGAACGGTACTGGGTTGGGGTCCCAGAGTGAATATCATAGCTAAAATATTTAGGCCAATGACTAGATTGTTTAGTATCATGAACAAATGGAATCATATGATTTCGAGTTGGTAGATGATTTAGGTAGAGTTTTGTTCTCTAAACTGGGTGGTTTGTTTGTGTAGCTTTCAGTATTCTTCTAAAAATAAATATCATCAGCACAAACACTTCATTTCTACATGAAGTTTGTGCTGAGGATGTTATTCGAAAGAACGATAAAAGCTTAACGACCAAAGCATCCAGCTCAGAGAACAAAACACCCGATCAAATGAAATTCTTGTACAAAATTATATTGATTAGTTGTTAAATTAGTCGGTTCACACCCAGTAGATTGCAGATTAGAGTCTTCAACTAATTATTTGGGTTTAGGTAGCTTGAATCGGATCACTATCTCTCATAATAACAGTAATGCTTAAATCTGAAAACAAATCTGTAGTTTTTGAACGAATTACATGATTACTTCATTTTTGTATTGATTGTTTGAATTTTCTCATTAATGTTCTATTCATTTGTGCATCCTGTTTTGATTGTCTTAATATTGTTTTAAGTCACTAGCATTATGAGCAGAGATGATGGTAGTAAGCAGTGGAATCTAGAACACGTGTTTCGTCCTATTTGGGCCTCTTCAGCTGTATATACCTTCATCTCATAGGTGTATATAACGATGATGATCAAATAACATAATGAAATACTACGATGTGATCAGTGACGCTGGTTTGAGCATGAGAACTTAAGGAACTCTATTATTTCTGTTCTTTTGATGCATTTTTTATGTGTATTATTAGAATTTATTCACAAGATTATGTTATTCTTTCTTTTAATATTATAGGTCCTCCAAGAAATTCCCTACTAAGGCGTCAAAGTGGTAAGTAGTGTAATATAATACATAGCACTGAAAATAAATTCGTGAATATTATTGTTTTATTCAGTCTAATATCTATCGTTTAATACAATTGATATCAGTTGAATAAATGATGGGACTCAGGGTACTATTCTGTGGGTATTTTAATTAATACACTTAGTTGTAAGTCCCAAGCTAAAAGCTGAGAGCTGATTACCTGCTTCCATTTTACAGTACATTTTCAGATGACTTTATTTCTTCATGATAAGAAAGAACATTTACGTTATTCTAATACCCTAAAGTTAATTATCTCCGAATCTTCATTTTCCATATTCAGATTTTACGATAAACGCTAGAAGAAATAGTTACATATTTCTATTAATATGATTAGTGTTGTAATACTAAACTTATTCAAAAACGTGAAAAGTTTACAGCTAAATCATAGCAAAATCACTTATTTGAGTTACATTTTCTGGCTAGCTTATTTTAGCGAGTTAGTTTTCTACGGGATGGGGTCGCTAACCCCATATCCAACCCCCCTTATTTATTCGGGCTTGGTAACTCCAGAGGAGCTCCAAAAGGAGTTATGCTAAAATTACCTTATAAATTTTACCAATTTTCTTTGCTTCCTCAGATAAACATCACGAGCATAGACATCTTTAGCAATAGTTAGGTATCATGATAAAGGTTTGACTTGATAATTTCAAATACATTGAGCATTGGGTAGGTTGTTATTGATGAAAATTTTATATTTGTAATATGCTGATGAGTAGAAAAAATTAAATTTTCAAATTTTCTGACGTTAGGTGACTGAGGTTAAGCCGCTTCTCTAAGCAATAAATGAACGAACATCAACTAACTCATGTTTAAATAGTAAAAAGGAATAAAGCAAGGATATTAGGTGTGATCAACCAAGACAGATCTAACTAAGTCACTCTAACGTCATTCTGGTTATTCTGGTGATTTATATGAGGCACGTGTTGTATATTTGTATGTATCTAGGTTAAAAGATGAAAAAATGTGATATTTGTAGTGCGAAATGTTAGAATTGAATTTGTATATACAGTAATGGTATGAGATGTGAATAGAATCAGACATGGTAGCTCGGATAGATATTCCAAGTCGGTTTTATAGTAAGGCCTTCTTTCCTTTCGAATCCAGTGAGATTAATTTAAGTTGTCTATTTATTCTCTGAAGAAGAAGTTCACATAGTCACGAAACGTCAAAAATTAAAAAAAAAATTTTTCTACTCATTGGGATGTGACAAATATATTATTTCTATTAATTATTAGTAGTTAGTTCATTTTTTCCTGTGACTGTTTTGGTAATCTACACACTGTTATAGTTATCCTATCTTGAATTGTGCCCATTAATTTCCGAACGATTGAAATCATCGAAAGCCTAATGTTAGCATTATAGCACTCATCTCTGAACATGATGTAACAACTAAATTTAAATAATACATTTATAGAACCATTTATCTTTAGTGACTTGACCTGTGTTGTGTAATTCAGTTTTTCAGAAATATATATGCACAGTAATATCCACCCATAGTTTAGTGTGATCTTTAATTTCGATGTCAAGTAGATCGGACGATGTTGTTGACGAGCTCATCACTTTTGTGGCCCGAAATCTGACCATTAATTTGATCGTTTCCAATTGCTTGTTATTGATATATACATATCGCCAATCCTCGTATATAATCATGGACCTTATCCACATTAGTAATATAACGGAATTAAATAGGTCAAATACGAGAATGGAATTTTGAATACGTATGTTTTGTACACTGATTGACCTGAATAGACAATCAGAGGGACGAAGCAAAGGAAACGAAATGTCGCGCAGTGAAGATGGCGTATTAGCCAACTCAAAGTAACCAACCATTAATCGATATTTATAGTCGGACGAAAAATAAGTTACTGACATCTAATGAGTAAGATAAGAAGTGTACACACATAGGCTTACATAAAAACAGTTAAGGTTGATTGACAAGGTTAAAATGTGATTCAAGAAAAATGGATAAATTAACCTGTTCAGAAGTTAAAAAAAGTTATTTGAGCTTAACATAATAACCAACACTACAATAGCTATCCTCTTACAATGTATCAATTAATATTGATCAATAAAATTACATTTTAAAAACATGAACTTCATAGAAATTACTTAGCCACGCTGGGAGGTGTTCAAGAGCACGAAAATGTAAATTCCTAGAACTTCGACCAATATAACTTTCTCCACAGGAGCAGTCTAACTGATAAATACGAAATGAGGTGGTTATTATAGGTACTTCATTTTTAAGCCTCGGTGTCACCATTGGACGCGTAGAAAACACTAAATGTAGTTCACTTGCGTTGAAAGATTTTTGGATTGATCTGCGTGATCTCTGAGTTAGTATTTCGCTAGCTTCATTCCCTCTGAATTGTAGGCTCATGAACAAAGACTTCTTCTTGACCGTTCGAATTTCGCCTATTTTCACTTTCATGATCATATATTTAATTATAAACTTTCTGTGGTAACCGTTCTCCCTCAGAGCATTATGCAAGGTGTTTAGCTCATCTTCAACTATATCTGCCGAACATATAGTGCGTATTCTGTAGCCAAGGGTTTTGATCAGGTTTCGTTTGTACTATAGAGATACAAAGCTAAGGAAATGTATATACTGCTCAGTTCAAGTACTTTTTCTGTTTATGTTTCTTCTGAGCGATCCATTTGCTCTCATAGTTAAAAATATATCTAAAAAGGCTATTCGGCCATCACTCTCTTCCTCCGATGTAAACAGAATGGCTGAATACACTTCCTTAAACTGCCTAAGCACATCTTGCTGTGATATATTTTCTTTACATAAGGTGAATGTATATGTATATATACATACGTTAACACCGTTGGATGCTGGCTCACTGGTCTAGAAGTTAGGTGCTCTGGCGCGAGACCGATAGGTCCTGGGTTCGAATCTCGCAAGGTGGGGCCGTGGATGCACAGTGCTGAGGAGTCTCACAATAGAACGAAACGGCCGTCCAGTGCTTCCAGATTTCCAATGGTAGTCTAGCTTCAATAGACTCATGATCTCAACTATGTAAAATAATAATAATAATCATCAAAGGTTTTATGATGTCAACACAATATAGGCAAATAAAAACGGCGTTTAAAGCTTTATCATCTAACATGAAGTTGATAACTTAACTGTTTTCTTTTGTCACAATAATGAAATGTAACATAAAAGGGGTTGAATTAAATAAAATGATGTCAGAAACAATTATAAATAAAATCATAGTAATACAAGAAATAATATTATAGAGAGGGGGGGGAAATACTTTTTAAAGGTAAAATCAATGGAATGAAATGAAAGTAAATTAATAATGATAGTTTCAGGTCACGGTAAAGGCAATCATAAGATATATAAATCTGTTGAATACAATGTTTTTGCTTCATTTTAAAGATGAAAAGAGTTTCTGTAGTTTCAAGCAAATGAATACGAAGAAATCTTGGTAGATTTAGTTGAATTTCATAGAAAATATTAAGGTTGTGGGGATTGTTAAGTTTTGATTGAGATCAAGAATTGATCCATGTTAGACCACCATTGAGAACCTGGAGCGCCGAATAAACATTCTGTACTAGTATGGAACTCCTCAACAGCGTGCATCCACGATCTCACATATGGTACTCGAACCCAGGACCTTCGATCTCACGCGCGAACGCCTAACCTTTAAACCATTTAGCCGGCCGATATATAAAGATGTCTAATTTCAAGCAATCCCCGATATTGCGCAACTATATTCTATTGTCTTCATTAGGTAACTGACTCAGGCCGGACACGATTTAACTCCACTGGTCACGGCTTCCTAACAAAACTCCGGGAATTACCTCTCTCTATGTACCTTGGTCCAATGGAGCAGGGAACTGGAAGGTTGGCACAAGCGATCATATGTATACATATATGAAATTGTAAAGGATTTTTATAATTTATTGGACATTAAAAATTATCCTTGAAATCTTGTCAACGTTTAAAACATTTTCATGAGTTTCGGCATACCAATCTTTTAAGTGGTCGTTATTTTATCGAACTTATTCAAAAAGTACACACCAACTTTCATTTGTGTACTAAAAATTTCTTATGGAACATTTATACTGTTATTCAGTATTATATGTCTATTATTTCCATGACAAAAAAAATCAAATCTATATGCTACACACATATACAAGAAGTTTTTCTGTTTGCTTAATAGGATGATAAATAGATAGAAGTGAGACAAAAGTTAAAGAAACAAATTAAGAACAATTCAAGGGTACAATGATTAAACAATAGTGCTTAGTTTTTATTCATAGAATTGTAGACAGAACATTATACAGTATAACGAACGTAGGTCAAGTTAGAATAGATAATACTGTAATGACAAGTTGCTGTGAGAACTCAGTAGATAAGTGGATAATACCATGGAGTTTCGAGCGAATGGTAATTGGTTCTGTTCTCAGAGTGAACATCAACTCTGAGATGCAGGTACATCCAGCCGACGAGTCCCAAAATGGGACAAAACATGCATCCTGGATTCTACTAATAGCCACCAACCATCTTTGCTTATTATGCTCGTAACTTAAGGCAATCTCTAGACAATCCACACAGGATGCACAAATGCCAGTAAGAGACTAATTAGTTACAGTCCTAAGCATCAATGTGAAGATTCAAGTAAACAATATCAAGTGAATTTATTGACAATTATTGTTTGCTTGCTTTTTAACCAATTATATGCAAATTCTATTGTGTGCAAATATTACTTACTTACACCTGTTACCCCCAATGAAGCATAGGCCGCCGACTAGCATTCTCCAACATGCTCTGTCTTGGGCCTTCCTTTCTAGTTCTATCCAATTCTTGTTCATTCTTCTCATGTCTGTCTCCATTTCTCGGCATAATGTGTTCTTTGGTCTTCCTCTTCTCCTTTCGCCTTCAGGATTCCATCTGAGGGCTTGCCCTGTGACGCAGTTGGATGCTTTCCTTAATGTGTGTCCTATCCACTTCCAACGCT